TGGGCCCGGGCCTGAGCTTAGAGTGTTTCCTTTAAGGGGCTCCAAGGGTAACAGGAGGGACCCTTAATAAGGACCCCTAGGTATATACCCTTAATATAGCCATTATATACCCATTATATAGCCCATTATAGGGTTGGGGTCCCCATTAAGGGTCCCTCCTTTTCCCCTTTGAAGGGTTGCTCAAACAGGTGTATATAACGGGATCTATAGTATATCGGGTTCTATCATATAGGGGCTTCGATAATTACCCACACTATTTTGCGGGGTTCCTTACAATAGTTGCAGTATAATATACCCCGAAACGCTATTCCAATTATTCAGGCCCATGTGTTATTTTCATGATTTGCGTGAATGGAATCCCTGCAAACCCTAAGCCCCAAACGCGAATTTCCAACAGCCTAGAGCCCTCAAGTGAAAGCCCTAACGCCCTAAAGGCTTAAATGAAGCCCGGAAGCCCTAAAGCCTTAACGCCCCAACGCCCTAAAGCCTTGAAGAGCCCTAAAGGCCGAAAGCCCTAATCCGTTTCCTTTGTCATAGTTGGGTAACGGTTTAGGGTTTAGGGTGCAGGGTTTAACATTTTATATTTTTATGGGTACTTAAACAAAAAGAAGGAATACAACTGTACATATTTAATCCTATCCCAACAATGAACTAGTTTCAGAGTTTCGAACACTCTCCCGGCTTCCCAGGGCTATCCCGACTTCGGCGGGAACAGCGACGATGTCCAAGCTGATCTGACTTGCATCCGCGCCATCCAGGCGAACCGCGGCGCTTTTGCTGCCATCCGCGAGGCAGGTTGGTCGCAGAAAAAGCAGTGCAAGCTACACCCTAAACTTCCTAAACCCTTCAGTCCCTAAACCCTAAGCCCTAAACCCTAAGTTTCCTAAACCCCTCAGTCCCAACTAGACTCGCAGCTCTCGGATTTAGGGTTTGCTCGGGTCCAGGGCTTGAGGCTCAGTCCGGGCCTCTGTGTATCCTTGAGTCCTGCGTTAGAATTAGCTAACCATTGATATCATGGGAGCTAAGGAGCCAGGGATGATGATAATCCCTATTAAATAAGGAGCTAAAGAGCCAAGGGAACCCCCAAAACCGCTGGTCAGGTAGTGTAGGTAGAATTTAACTGTTTGGGGTACTAAAATCCCTATGTGGGTGGTTGTCAAAATTCGGGTCCCTTTTTGGGCACCCAAAATATTACGTAGGTGTCGTACCAAACTAAGGACCCGAAAAGGGACCCTAATTTTGACAACCACCCATGTAAACCAACAGTTTAGCCTCTAGTTCCCCTAGGATACTGGACAAGTGAGCTGACTGCTCAAACGTGGTGAGACCTCTGCTGTAAACGCCTGGATGGCAACAAGCTGCACAACCCAAAAGCCGCAGGGGAATAGATGCGAAGCCGAGAAGCCAAGAAGCTGCAAACAAGCACCCCAAGAGGCATATAAGCCTTCAGTGGCAACTCTGTTACCAGTAGCGCGCTAGACTTACACTCACAAGGTTTTTGGTGCTTAGTACAAGCCATAAACCCTAAGATTCTGAGACTAGAACAAATCCCTAGACTTAGCCTTGCAGGGTTTGTGCTGCTTATAAGCACTCTTCCACTCACTAAGTTCTCAGAGTTTCTAAGCAGACCCGAACCATCCCAAGGCCCCTGAACCCGAAACCCGAAACCCCACAAGACAACAAGAAGACCCTCATCTTAAACCCTAAAGCCTGAAGCCCAAACCGCCAAAACCCTTAAAGCCTGAACCTTCAAGCCCTAAAGCCAGCGTAGGATGGCACTGTGGTGACCTGGGGTGATATGGACTTCGGGGGCGACAGCAGCGATGTCCAGGAGGTGGACGCTGGAAGAGTTCGCAAAGAAGGGGGACCTTTGAGTCAAGACCACGAGTCCGGAAATAGAGGGGTTTGCGGTTCAGGGTTTAGGGTTTAGGGCTTACTTGGAGGATCATGGGACTGAGTAAGTAAGGTTATAAGTACCTTAACTGGGGTTATAAGTAGTTATAGGTATAGTTACCCTAATAAAAACCACACTTACTAAGTCCCATGATCCTTTAAGTAGGGTAGGGTTTAGGAAAGCTTGAATACTGGATCGTACTATTTTACAGGGGTTCTTCTTGTACTTATGCTGTAATGTAACTCAAAACTCAAAACCCTCTCTTGATACTCTGCTCGGCACGAAGACCGTGCACCCTACGAGGGCACCCGAATACACCAGTCAGAACGTCTTGGTAGCAATACCCCCCGTATGGTCCCTATATAAGTATACCATGACATACCCAAAACTCCTGTCTGAGTATTAAAGCTCCTAAAAGCAACCCCTAAAACGCTCTGAAATTATAAATTCCCCAGGCGTTGAAGGAGGTGAGCTGCATCCAATCCTCGGACACCGCTTTTGTTGCCGTCCTCAAAGATGGCTCCGTGGTGACCTGGAATTCCAACACCCAAAAACCTATATAGATCCCTACCTTAACCTACCAGAACCTACCCTTTTTGTATTTGTAAAATCCATACACGTCTTGCATCCGTGAGATTGCTGTGTTTAGTCCCCTAAACCCGAAAGCCTAAACCCCTAAATCCCAAACCCCTAAACCCTAGGTGACTTGGGGTGACCCTGATGGTGGGGCTGATATTGAAGCCCGGCATTCTTTTGTGGAGGTTCAGGGTGTGCGATTGGGTGGGGGGGGTTGGTTTGGTGCAGTGGTTGGCGGGGGTGGGAGGGGTGGATGGGTTGGGGCTTAGGGCTCAGGAGGCTTTTGAAAAGGGTTTGCGGTTTGGGGGTTTCGCCGCAGGGTTTAGGATTTGGGGTTTAAGTTTAGGGTTTAGGGTTTCTGGTTTTGGGGTTTTTGAGGGTTCGGGGTTTGGGGTTTTCAGGGTTTAGGGGTTTAGGGTTTAGGGCTTATGAAAGTTTCAGTATGGGGTCCAGTAGATGTTGTCTTAGAGGGATCAGAGGCTCTGAGATTCCAAAACGGACTGCCCAGAACTGCTCAGGAAGAGGTAGAGGACCAGCTCTCCGTGGTGGAAGAAGTCCAGGCCACTGACAGCGCCTTTGCCGCACTTTTGCCAGATGGCTCCGTGGTGACCTGGGGCAACCCGAGCCTTAGGAGCACTTGGAAGCAATTTTAAAATATTTGTTTGCTATACCGCAAACATCTTCAATTTTTGCAAGGGTACCAATTTCAGTATAGGAACGAGGGCGGCGATAGCCAAGAGGTGCGACGGCAGTTGAAAGATGTCCGGCACATCCAAGCCAACGCGAATGCTTTTGCTGCTATCAGAGAGGATGGATCTGTCGTCACATGGGGCGATCCCGACGTCGGTGGCAACTGCAGCACTGTACAGGAGCAGCTGCAGAATGTGCAGCAGATTCAGGCGACAGGCACAGCCTTTGCTGCCATCCTAAGCGATGGCTCGATAGTGACCTGGGGCAACTCAGAGGAGGGAGGTGACAGCAGCGCCGTGAAGGATCTGCTGCAACCTCTGCGCCGCTGAGCCGCAGGAAAAAGACTTCACGTGGCAGCTTTCGAAACCCTAAACCCTAGACCCTAAACCCTAAATCCTAAACCCGAAACCCTAAACCCTAAATCCTAAACCCTAAACCCTAAACCCTAAATCCTAAACCCCTAAACCCTAAACCCTAAACCGTATTACGGAGAAGCCGTCTGAAGCCCGTCCCACACCCCGGCCCTGAACCATGAACCACCAGGCACTGCGGCTTTCTTGCCCGTTTCTGGTGCCATTTGGGAGTTTCCGAAAATGGGGGACCCTAATATAGTACCCTAAATATAGTAGGATCCTCATTATAAGGACCCCAAAATAAGGTAGCCCCAATTTTCCGAAACCCCCATTTGCACCCCTCAAAACGGATCGCCCAAACCCAACGCTCTGAAACCCGAAACCCTAAGTCTAGGGTTTCGGGCGTAGTAGCGATCCTAAAAGTGCACACCTCGCACCCGAACGACTAAAACTCCTGTTACTACGACTACGAAGCCCGATTGCTTTGAGGTTCGATAAACTTAATTTGTAGACCATAAATAGGCCTCTGAGTACTACAATGCGTCTATGGTTTAGGGTATAGGGGGTAAAATTGAGGGTGATACGAAGCGCATCCCAACCCTCCCAGTCGCCTGATCCCTCTGGATGCAGCCTGAACTACTATCTACTTAAATAGGATCATGGGACTTAGTAAGTGGGGTTACAAATAAGGTAACTGTACATATGACTAGTTATAACCCCAGCTGAGGTACTTATGACCGTACTTACTGAGTCCCATGATCCTCCAAGTAGCCCTGTCGCGCCCTACTACAACAACCTTACAGCCAACACCGCAAGATACTGAAGACTGCGCCAAACTTAGATTCAGGACACCCCACACAAACTCCTAAGATGCGAAGCTAGGTGAAACCTCTAGCCCCAAACACATAAACACTGAAACCAGACTCCGAAATTCTACACCCTAAACGGACACAAGCCCAAAAGTCTAAAACCCCAAGCAACCTGTGTAGGAGCCCATCAATGGACCCCCGTAAAGACACTTTCGGAAGGGCCCTCATAAAGCCCTAAACCGTAAACCAAAAAGCTCTAAACCCTAACACCCTATTCCCCTCAAGCCCTAAACCCCCTAATCCCCTAAACCCTAAAACCACTAAACCCCCTAACTCCCTAAACCCCTCAACCCCTAAACCCTAAACCCCTAAACCCTAACAACTTAACCCCTAAACCCCTCAACCCCTAAACTCCCAAACTCTTAAACCCATAAACTACTGTTGATGATATAAACCCTGCATTACCCATAATAGGCAATATACCATTATCCGCATAGTTTAGGGGCTTTAAGGTAATGCAGGATTTATATCATCAACCGTAGGACCCAGAGTAGGCCCTTATTCCCTTTTTGTAGGGTTCAGGTTCCCTTAGAAGCCCCTTGAAACCAAAAGGGGCGCCCTTTTTATTACCTGGGTTACTCCTGGGTCTAGTAAGAGAGCTAAAGCCTGGTGGGCCAGAACCTCGATGCTGGAGTCGAAGCTTTCGGCCTCGGAGATCAACGTGGCCGTGCCTTGGCTTTGGCCCTAAACATTAATATAGGAGCCTTAAGTATTGCCTGCAGGGTTCCTAGGGCTCCCTTAAAAGGGGTCTATAAGGGTTGCTGTAAGGGATATATAAGGGTTCTGCATTATAGGAGCCTTAGTAATTACCCACACTATTTTGGGGGTTCCTTATTATATTATAACACCCAAGCCCCATTCAAATTATTAAGGCCCCCATATTGAACCCTTAGGGCCTTTAGGCTGCCTGGTTCTTAGTAGGGAATGGGGAATTGGATCCCTATGATAGTCCCTGACGCCCCTAGAGTAGTCCCAATAACCATTCCCCCCATTCCCTACTAACAGTAGGGAAGCTCGGTGGATACACGGGAGGAGAGGGTGACACCCTAAACCCAAAGCCCCAACCCCTAAACCCTAAATCCCAAACCCAAAACCCTAAACACTAAACCCTGAACCCTAAACCCTACTCCCTAAACCCTACACCTTAAACCCAAACCCCAAACCCTAGAGCCTAAAGGATCCCAGCATGAGGTTCCTACTTGGAGGATCATGGGACTTTAGCAGGTAAAGTTTCCTTACGGGGCGCCTCAAAGGGATCCATGGGGTTCTGTAAAGGGATCTATAGGGTTCAGGGTTTAGGGTCTACTTGGAGGATCATGAGACTTAGTAAGTAATGTTACAAATAAGGTAACTACACCTCATAATTACTTATAAGCCCAATCAAGGCACTTATAACCTTACATGCCAAGTCCCATGATCCCCCACATAGACCCTAAGCCCTAAACCCTCTAGATCCCTTTAAGGAACCCCATAGATCCCTTTAAGGAGCCCTTCTAGGAGCCCTATAGATCCCTGTAAGGAGCCTTTTAAGGAACTCTCTAGACCCCTTTAAAGAGGCCTTTAAAGAGCCTTACTTGAACGAAGCCGTGACGAAGCTCAGGAGTGCCACGGCACGGGCACAGCTCTGGGAGTCGGGGGACCTGGAACCAAGGGGGGTTTAGGGTTTAGGGTTTAGGGTTTAGGGGTTTAGGGGTTTAGGGGTTTAGGTTTTAGGGTTTAGGGTTTAGGGGTTTAGGGGTTTAGGTTTTAGGGTTTAGGGTTTAAGGGTTTAGGGGTTTAGGGTTTAGGGTTTAGGGTTTAGGGGTTTAGGGTTTAGGGTTTAGGGGTTTAGGGGTTTAGGGGTTGAGGGTTTTAGGGTTAGGGTTTCGGAGTTTAGGGGTTTAGGGTTTAGGGGTTTAGGTTTAGGGTTTAGGGGTTTAGGTTTAGGGTTTAGGGGTTTAGGTTTTAGGGTTTAGGGTTTAGGGTTTAGGGTTTAGGGGTTTAGGGTTTAGGGGTTTAGGGGTTTAGGTTTAGGGTTTAGGGGTTTAGGTTTTAGGGTTTAGGGTTTAGGGGTTTAGGGTTTAGGGGTTTAGGGGTTTAGGTTTAGGGTTTAGGGGTTTAGGTTTTAGGGTTTAGGGTTTAGGGGTTTAGGGTTTAGGCGTTTAGGGGTTTGGGGGTTTAGGTTTAGGGTTTAGGGGTTTAGGTTTTAGGGTTTAGGGTTTAGGGGTTTAGGGGTTTAGAGTTTAGGGTTTAGGGGTTTAGGGGTTTAGGTTTAGGGTTTAGGGGTTTAGGTTTTAGGCTTTAGGGTTTAGGGGTTTAGGGTTTAGGGGTTTAGGGGTTTAGGTTTAGGGTTTAGGGGTTTAGGTTTTAGGGTTTAGGGTTTAGGGGTTTAGGGTTTAGGGTTTAGGGGTTTAGGGTTTAGGGGTTTAGCGTTTAGGGTTTAGAGTTGCAAGAACCTGGGTGCAGGGCTTTAAGGTTTTGAGGGTTACTTAAAAGGGTTCCTTATAGGTTTAGAGTTTAGGGGTTTTTAGGTTTGGTTTAGGGTTCCTTGAAAGGGTACTATAAGGGTTCCGTGAAGGAATCTATGGGTTCCGGTTTCAAATTTTTTGCGGGCGCTCGGATGAAGTCGCAAAGCTGCGGGATTGCCTTGCGGCATGTTTGAGACAGAATGATGTTTGTGCGTTGGCCATTACTGGGACCCCACTGGTGCAAGCTTTGCCGAAACATGCGGTGATGTTGGCAAGCATTGATGAACATGTGAAAGAATTGAGGGACCGCCTGCGGGCGGCGGCAGAGGCTGTGCAAAAGTTTTCGCATTTGCACGCTGATCGAGTTTCATTTACTTCGCTGAATCTGATGCTTCTGGAGAAGCAGAAGAAGGTGACTCGCTACGAGCTCAGCTACAGCAAATGCTCCCGAGAATCCTCCGTGGACCGCGATCTCGCTGACAGCTTCCAGGTGGAGGTCGCAGATCCGCACAAGTACAAGACGATGCCAGATGTTGACAAGACCCTCAGCTGTAAATCGTTTTTTTCATGATCTCATTGCCGCCGTCGACACCTCTTATAGTAGAGTTGTGTAGAGTTGTAATAACGAGCCTTCTAGAATGGTAGGCAATAAGGTGTAGTGTCAGCTACTGAGGCTTCAGCACTATAGTAGCTCCAGCTCGACGGCAAATACGTAGAAATTTCTTAAAAGCTTACTTAAGCTGGTGGCTGAGTACCTCAGCCCAAAAAATGTCAATCTTTTGAATTATGGTAGGAATGCACCTCAAGCGGTTAAAGGTTACCCACTCAGTTACTATGGCCCACTGGGATATCTGGACACTCAGTATAAAGGGGTATCGGGCTCCCACAGCCGAAAGACCCTAGACCCCTGAACCCTACAAGAACTCCCTAACACGAGACACTACGGGGGGCTGAATAGGCAGTCCACGGGTATACTTCTGTTCACTGTTCAAACCCTTCGGGATCCCTGCAGCAAGAGACACACGCAATAAACCCTGCATCAAACCCTCCTCTACACTTTGTTTTGGGCTGGGCTGCAACACATGTAGGTATTATCCCTCGGCGTTCACCGGGTGAAGTGGTGAAGACAAGTCAAGAACACCCGGCTCGCCACGAAGCCCTAAACTCCAAACCGAGGCAGTATTCCCAAAAAGTTGCACCCAAAACCAAAACAAAAAATCCCTAATCCCTTTACCGCCACCACCCATAATGTAGATATCCGAAGAATGGATTCAGCCCCCTTCCTTAATCGTCCCTTGATCGTGTAGCAATATTGGAATACGGATACCAATATCAGGGCCCTCAAAGAAAGGGAGCTCAATACTCAGGGGTCTGCACGATGCCTCCAAAAAAACATTTTCCACGCTTGAGGACTTGGGAATCCCTTCTACAGTTTAGATTAAGAAGAGACCCTGAAACCGGTTTAAGGTTTGAAAGTTTAAGGGCTTCCCTAAACCCTAAAACAAGTAAACCCCAAAACCTTCACACCAAACCCCCTAAACCCTAAACCCCAAACCCCTGAAAGCCTAAACCCTAAACCCCACCACACCCCGAACCTCTTACATCCAAAACCCTAGCCCCAAACCCCCTAAAACGCCAAACCGTAAACCCCACACCCCTTAAACCCCAAACCCCTTAAGCCCCAATGAACCCCAAACCCCTTGAACCCCGAAACCTTGTTTGGAGGTGTCTTATACCCCTAAGCCCTAAACCTGTTTTCAAACTGTCAAGGCCCTGCTGAATCGAAGAACCCTACTAGACCTCTTTCGAGGATCCCTCTGCTAGCTGTTTAAGTGAGGCTTCTACATTGACCTTATTCAACAACGACTAAAGCCTAAACCCTACAGCCTATTTACAAAACACTGTACGAAGTCTCCGTATTTTCCGTTATACGATGTCATATTATACTATTTCCTATTGTATTAAACGTTTTTATACCATCATATTAGGGTCAAGGTCACTTGAAGTATGCATGACAGGACCCCATCGAGGTCAGTGCTCTGCGGATGGTCATGCAGGCCACGGCTGCTGTAAAAATAATTACTGCTATACTTCCTTACTGTTCCTTGTTATACTAAAAAGGAGCCCCGACCTCGGTTCTAAATAGGGTTTAGGTTTTAGGGTTTAGGGATAACTCGATTCTTTAGGGGCTTTCTAGGTTTCCGCCAGGAATGCGTGCATCCTTCGTACACTAGAGCACCCTGGGCCCGACGTGGATGTAGCAGGTTGGAGTGGTCATTTCCTAGGATGCCCAGTAGTACCCTTATTCCCTTTTTGTAGTCCTAGGTTCCTTATTACCCAATACCAAAAAGAGAGGCCTTTTTGTTCTTAGGTTACTGTGTATCCTAGTTTCCGTTTTTCTGCCAGAAGTCGCACCCAAGCCTTCAACCCTGCCCGGGCCCAGCGAGAACCCTACCTTTTACAGGACCTATATGAGGAAATGATCAGCAAGGAGCCCTCAAAAGGTAGATTTGGGGGTGAGGTATACCCTAAACCCTAAACCCCTAAACCCCTAGACCCTAAACTCGTAAACCCTAAACCCCTAAACTCCACCAGGACTGATGTCCTCAACCCGGCACTTGGGCCCTAGACACCAAGCCCCACACCCTAAATCTTCAATCTAGGGGTTTAGAGTTTAGGGGTTTAGAGTTTAGGGGTTTAGGGTTTAGGGGTTTAGGGTTCAGGGGTTTAGGGGCTTAGAGTTTAGGTGTTTAGGGTTCAGGGGTTTAGGGTTTAGGGTTCGGGGGTTTGGGGTTTAGTTATTAGAGTTTAGGGGATTAGGGTTTAGGGGCTTAGGGGTTTACGGGTTTTGGGGGCAGGGGTTTAGGGTTTAGGGCTAAGCCGATAGACAGCGCTGGACTTGGCACCGTCAGCGAAGCTCGAGATTGGTGTTTCAACCTATAGCCGGGATGCATAGGGTTCCTTCATTGGCTCCTTCGAAGGTTTCTTCACAGCGAGCAACGAGGGTTCCTTAAACCCGAACCCTAAGCCCTAAGCCCTAAATCCTAAAGCCTCAACCCTAAACCCTAAATCCTAAACCCTAAACCCTATAACCTTAAACCCTAAACCCTAAATCCTAAACCCTATAACCCTAAACCCTAAACCCTAAACCCTACAACCTAAACCCTAAATCCTATAACCCTATAACCCAAAACCCTAAACCCTATAACCCCAAACCTATGCCCTAAGCCCTAAACCCTATAACCTTAAACCCTAAACCCCAAACCCAAACCTATGCCCTAAGCCTTGCCATCTTTGCCCGTGCACCCCACGCCCTGTGCCCTAAACCTCTAAGCCTCTACGGTTTACTTACAAATAATTTTCAATTTTTGGTTGTTATAATCCCTAAGAAACAGCTAAAGTTATAATTTTTCTAGGGTTCTAAGTTCAGTATAGTACGCACAATTGCGCAGTTCTGATATCTCCCAGAGACGGCAAGCTAAAGAAGGAGTCTTAGACTAAAGAGGGCTTTTAATTCTGATCCTTCGCACCGACACCTCTGCATCTGACATCACCGCCAGGATCGGCCCCTTCCCATCCTCAACACGTCAGCGAAGACGTGACTTGGCCAGGTGCTTTTGGATTCGGACTGTCCCAGACCCCCCCAGGATCCAAAACAAAGGTATCCTAGCATTGTATGCATTACGATTGGCCCTAAACCCTAAACCCTAAACCCTAAACCCTAAACCCTAAACCCTAAACCCTAAACCGATTGATTTTTCAAATCCTTCCGTGGGTCTGGGGTCTGCCCTGAAAGTGCAGCGTTCTGTTTCCCAGGGTATCGGGGGACTAGGTTTAGGATTTGGGGATTCTGAACCTGAGCTAGGTATCGATTTGGGATGATTAACATATGCCTTTATTGCTTAATATAGAGCCCCAATTGCAAGTAATTTTGGGACTGTCACCCGGTGAGGCGCGCCTCTAGAGGGCATTCGTGCTTCACATGTCTTTCTGAGGGTTCAGGGTTAGCCCGAACCCTAAACCCTCAACCCTAAACCGTGGCTGAGGGTTTAGGGTTTAGGGTTTAAGTTAACCCTAAACCGTAAACCCTGATAAGCCCTGCACCCTTCAAGGAATCCTTGGGGGTTTCGCTCTAGGGGTTTGGGGCTTGGGGGTCTATAAGGTTTACTATAAGGGCTACTATAAGGGTTTAGTGGCCCGATCTGCCATAATTATAATAAGGCGCCCCCAAAATAGTATTAAGGAGCCTTGAATCCTAATGAACCCTGAACCCTTAAAGTGATCCTTGAGGTGTTGCCTCTAGGGTTGTCCTTTTGCTTGGACCCTAAACCCTTATTCACACTTAACCCTTATAAGATCTCTTTAGAGCAGAGCCAAACCCCTAAAGATTTGAACCCCTATGTCCCTAAATCCCTAAAGCCCGTACAGGAACCCCTAGGGAATCCCTTAAAGGGATCTGGAAGGCTTCCCTAATACTCATATTATTTACGAGAGATCCTTGTTTTTGTAACTTAAACTAAGTCCTTGCAAACCGTTATTTCAACCCTAAACCTTAAAGGAACCCTTAAAGGAACCCTTAAAGGAACCCTTAAAGGGATCCTTTAAGGCTTCCCCCCCAAAACCCTCAACCCTAAAACCCAAACCCCCAAAGCCCTAACCCCTATACCCGTAAACCCCGAAACCCCGAAACCCCGAAACCCCTAAACCCCGAAACCCTAAAACCCTTAAAGTTCCTGGAGACTCCAATATCCCTTAATTGGGGAATAGACCTTAATTATAATAGGACCCCTTATATGATTTAAGGAATATTCCTTAATTAAGGGATATTGGAGTCTCTGGGTACCCTAAAACCCCTAAGCCCTAAAACCCTAAACCCTAAAACCCCAAACCCTAAACCCTAAACCCTAACACTCCAAACCCTAAACCCTAGAAACCCAAACCCTAAAACCTAAACCGAAACCCAGGGTTCATTAGGGTTCAAGGCTCCTTAATACTATTTTGGGGGCTCCTTATTATGATTATGGCAGATCGGGCCACTAAACCCCATATAGTAGCCCTTATAGTAAACCTTATAGACCCCCAAGCCCCAAACCCCTAGTGCGAAACCCCCGAAGGGTTTAGGGGTTCAGAGTCTACGGGCCATTCTGCTCCGAGGAACCTTGGGCACCTCGAGGCCTCGGCTGGGATGGCAGGCGCGGGGGGGGTGCTTTTGAAGAAGTGATTGCGTTACTGTTATTATTGTTGTTATTATTGTTGTTATTATTGTTGTTGTTGTTATTATTGTTATTATTATTGTTATTATTATTGTTATTATTGTTATTGTTATTATTGTTATTATTATTGTTGTTGTTATTATTATTAGTATTAGTATTAGTATTATTAGTATTAGTATTAGTATTATTAGTATTAGTATTAGTATTATTATTAATATTATTATTATTGTTGTTGTTGTCATTATTATTGTTGTTATTATTATTATTATTATTATTATTATTATTATTATTTTATATGGGTGGTATCAATATTAGAGTCGCTTCTTTGGGTCCTTGTTATAATACGGCTCCTAATATTTTAGGGTAGCCAAAAGGGAACCCTAATTTGTACAACCACCCATATGAAGGGATGTTAGGGTTTCGGGTGGGGGGTTTAGGGTTGAGGGGGTTTAGGGGTTGCAGGGGTTTAGGGATTTGCTTTTAGGGTCTATTAGGGTATATTCGGGGTTTGGTTTTCGGGTTTAGGGTTATGTTAGGTTATATTAGGGTATACCTGGACCCTAAGGAACCTACCTTTTTAGGGTTCCCTCATACGATTTCTTTATATAAGTCCATAAAAAGGTAGGTTACGTGGGGTTAAGGTAGCAGGGTATATCAGGGTTTAGGGCTTAGGGTGTATTACAGGGTGTATTAGGTTTGGGGGTATATCAAGGCCGGGGGGTTTAGGGGGCTTTAGGGTTTAGGGTTTAGGGTTTAGGGGTTTAGGGTTTAGGGGGTGTAGGGTTTAGGGTTTAGGGTTTAGGGGGTTTAGGGTTTAGGGTTTAGGGGTTTAGGGCTTTAGGGTTTAGGGGGTTTAGGGTTTAGGGTTTAGACCACAACAATACGAGCATTCTCCAAGCATAACATAAGCCGAATCTATTCCTAGGATGCCTAGTGGTGCCCTAATTCCCTTTTTGTAGTCCTAGGTTCCTTATAAAGGACCCAATACCAAAGAGGGTGCCCATTTTATTCCTAGGTTACTCCCCTAACGCTGCTCGTAGGATCTGTTGAAGACGTGCCCCTATTTCAGGTAGCTCAGGGTCCTGTGAAGACAGATTTAGGGTCTAATAGATGGCCTAAATAATTACCACTACAATTTTTGGGGTCCCGTCTGAAAGTTGTAAAATGTACACCAAAACCCTATTCTGAGAATAGATTTCCCTGTAGTATGAGGGCTAGGGGTACACAAAGTTATCGGGATATCCGCAGGAGCTTCTTTGAGACCTACTTGGAGGATCATGGGGCTTTGTAAGTAAGGTTATAAATAAGGTATCTCTACGGTCTACTTGGTCAGCGAGACAACGCTCCGAGCCTCGAGTGACTCGAGCGCGATGTCGTCTCTTCCTCTCAACCTTCTTGTGCATGCAACTGAAGTGTCATTGTCACCACGCAGCAGAGGCCGGCCGGGCACATTCCCGGCCGCAGAGCCGGAGTGCCACCTACACTTCCGACGCACGCAACTGGCGTGCTGTTGCAAGATGCTGACTCTGGACAATCTTATCTGGCTAACTATGAATGTGTCAGCTGGGGATGGTGGTACTACCGTTAGTGTCTACTGTGCACTTAGCTGCACCTGCGAGACGCTTCCTGTAATTCATCAAACCTGCATGGTTCAAAGGGGAAAAGGAGGGACCCTTAATGGGGACCCCTACCCTGTAATGGGCTATACAATGGGTATAAAATAGCTATATGAAGGGTATATACCTAGGGGTCCTTATTAAGGGTCCCTCCTTTTACCCTTGGACCGGTATTTGTTTATAGCTCCAATTAAAGCACTTTTAACCCTACTGACTAAGACTCGTGGTCCTCCAAGTAGACTGGCTTAGGCAATCCCTGGGTTCTGGAATACAGGTTTTGAATCACTCAAAAGGCATTCTTCCTCAAGTTTCCCCTCTATACTTATGTATAACACTCCGCAAAATCGTTTTCCAATTTTTGAGCAATCGACATTTGGTATCACCACACATTCGAAGCGGCTCCTGGAGAACACTCCGGCTCCCTACAGAGGCTGTAGGTAAGGCATCTTGTTTGGTAGAGGATTTTGATAACGGCCCAACAGCGGTTTAGCATCATGAGTCCAGGGATCAGGGTTTGGGGCTTCGGTTCAGGGGCTGTAAGTTTATGGTTTATGTTTTAGTGTTTAATGTTCCGCGTGTGTTGCCAGCATGGAGTGCCGTGCGGAGGCGTCCTGAAGTGCATCAATCTGCTGAACAGCAGCACTTGCCCGCCTAACAACCACTTCAGCACCACGGGCAGCAGAAAGCTTTGTGAAATGGTCTGCAGGGCGTTATTTGGCTTGATTTTGGGATTTGAGGTTTAGGCATCGATTTTTTTACGGGTTTCGGAGGCCTCTATGCGTACAGGGATGGTAGGCTCTTGCAAGTTTCTTGCAGGGCTACTTCGAGCAACCACAACCCTGATTGAGTATAGTTTAAACAAGAGGGGTTAGGGTTAGGGTTTACGGTTGAGGGTTTAGGGTTTAGAGAGGTTGAACTAAGGAGGTGAAATAACTAGAGGGGTTTGGGGTTTAGGGCTTTTAGGGGTTGTCCTTAGCATGGTGTGATGTACACTCCTCAACTAAGAGCCCAAGGGGTCTTGCGGCCAAGCACGCTAAACCCTAAACCCTAAATCTCTATCAAGCTCTCATGGTTGACCTCATGTGTCCCTTTTAGCGACCCATACCCTAAACCAGCCTTAAACCCAGCACCCTACCTTCAATGACAAACAGCACCCCTTGGTGGGGATGTAGCTTGATTGATCCTCATGCAAAAAATTTCAACCGGGGTTTGGGGTCTCATGGTTAAGAGGGATGGTTCTGCTAAGAAGTCCGAACACTACTTGGAGGATCATGGGACTTAGTAAGTAAGGTTATCAGTACCTTATTGGGTTATAAGTAGTTATAAGTATAGTTACCTTATATTTATCACCCGACTTACTAAGTCCCATGATCCTTCAAGCAGAGGGCAGTATTTCGGGCTTAGGCTTAGTGCTGAGGGCCGAAAGTCAAAGCTCCCAACCGCCGGGTTTGTTTGAGATATTTCGGGCTTCGGGCAGAGGATCCCCAAACCGTACCACACTAAACCTCAACCCGCAAATCCTGAACCTTGAAGACAACAAAAACCTGTAAATCCCAACATCGCGCCGCCGAGGGAATCTGAACCCTCACATGGACACCAACGGCTACCCAGCTGCTCGCCCTGACCCTCTGGTACTAAATGAATAGAGATTCCCTGAGGTTGCCTAGTATATTGCTTGTTTAACCCCACCAAGACCAAAGGCTTTAATTTGCGTAATTATGCAGGCCTCTTCTTAAGTTTGTGGGTGGTTGCCGGGCATTGTGGAAGGTATGGCTTGGTTGTCAGACGCGGCCAGAAATACATGAAACATGTTTGTATTGTAGTAACAGTGGTTAGTACCCTGAAGAAGGGACCGTTGCTAGTGAAGCCCATTCCCCTTAAACGGTTTAGGGTTTAGGGGTTTAGGGGTTTAGGGTTTAGGCTCAAAGGGGAAGGCTCAAGAACGAAGAGTCGACCTGAAAACCTGGGCCTGCCCCTAAAGAATCCCCCGCTCAGTTTTTCAAAACGATGTAAGACCCGTACAAACCTCTACATTCCTCCCAACAGCCTATCAGCCTTACTAGAATGCTGAAAGGCCCCTTATACAGCCGCTGCCAACGGCGATTTGGGGCTTGGGGTTTGGGATGTTTAAGGTTCAGTTAGGATTTACTATAGGGTTTTGGGTTCAGGAGTCAAGGGGTTCAATGATGCAAATGACAAGTTGGATTTGGAGAACATGGCGTGGCTTTAGTTAAAAGGACCCTTAGGGGGGATAGGGGAGGGGGGTAGGGGGCCTTAATACCCAGAAAAGGACATAATAAGGCTTATTGAAGGAAGTATAGTCCCCTACCTCCGTCCCCCTACCCCCCTAAGGGTCCCTGTGATTAGAATAGGGTTTTGGGTATCTTTATTTACAAGTATAGTATAATACAACACCCTATTCTAAGTATGACGGCCCCTACATTACGTGGCCGATGTCACAAGCTGCACCGTGACCGCGGCTGGAAATGTGTAGGCCGCGTGCCGAGCTAGAGCGATGTAGGCATGCCTCGACATCATCGACGTCGTCCGGCTCCTCCAATCAATCGATGGGATGTGTATGCATACCCCCCGGGTCACACCTCAGGTGGCCCCCCCGAGGCTGCGTGGACCCAATATATCGAGTTTCGCATGAAGGAGAAGCTTTGCCAAGAGGCTCCTCACCTTGCGTGGGGACTCCACAAGAATCAGCTGTCTATGCAGCACCGGGCTGAATCTGGCACCTATGCCTTCCTGAACTTTCTCCGCTAGATCTTGACCGTACAGGGCCGATCGACACACAGCGCACCCGAGAATGGATCACAACCAGGTACTCTTTTACTCCGCTTCATGTCAGCCAAATCTTCCAGACCGCACACGTCCTGCCCTGCAGCAGGAAAGCGCGCACGTGTGCCCGATGTTGATCCTTAACGAATCAGGCTGGTCAGCCCGGACTTCGCCGCCTGCGAGCATGCAGGCCCTTGCCAAGGCGGACTGAAGCCATGGTTGGGCTGAACCCTAAACCCTAAACCCTAAACCCTAAACCCTAAAGGCTGATGACTGTGCTTACTATTGAAAGTGGGAGCCTTAGCCCTAAACCCTCATGAAAGCCAACCTACAGGGTCCGTACATGCTACTACTATGGAATTAGGTCCCCCAAACCGGAATGGGCATGGTGTTTTTGGACCAAATTCCTTAATGGTAGCATAGAAGTATATATATATATATATATATATACATATACACATGGACCCACTGGGTAAGGAAGCACATAAGAAGCCCTCTGATGGATCCCTTAAGTTATATCACCGAACTCTAGCCTTCCCCTCAACCTTCAACTCTACCGACAGCACCAAGCCCTGTATGCTTTACTTGGAGGCCCTTTTGACTTAGTAAGTAGGGTTAGTAAGGTGGGTTATGGGGATTATAATAGGGTTTCTAGGGGATACTAAGTAGACTTACTAAGTCAACAGGGCCTCCAAGTAGGGTTCAGGGTGTTATGGCTTGGGGTTTAGGCCCGTCAGAGCACCCCTACGACGCGACAGCAGAGAAACCTTCATGAAGAACCCCTTAAAAAGCCTTAAATTCGAAACCCGTAAGCTCTAAACCCCAAACCCTGAACACAACCTCTGAAAACTGCAACCCTTTAAACCCTGAACCCCGAATCCCAAAACCCAAACCCCACACCGCCCCAATCTTCAAGCCCCAAGCCTTAAACCCTAAACCTCTTATAGAAGCCCTTACGGATCCCTCCAAGGTTTACTTTGCCAATGAGCTCTCCGACTACGGCTCCAAGTCCGGTCCGCCTGCCGTGTTTTTTCCTGGGGCCCCGAAGCACTGGGGCCCAGAGATCCCAATACCCCTCTTGGAGGGTCGGGGGACTTGGTAACTGGTTATTTTAAGGACTTATAAGTACCATAACCCCAGTTACGGTCCCTTTTAGGGTACTTATAAGTCTACTTACTACCTACTTACTAAGTCCCCCGACCCTCCAAGCTCAGTTAAGGAATATACCTCAAACCATAAATTAAGGGTTTAAGGTAGATTCCCGAATTAAGGGATATTGGGGTCTCTGGGGGCTTAGGGGGTTTAGGATCAAATCCGTCCCATGTGAAGGATTTCATGCAGGGCCAAACCCAAATCCTGAACCCCAAGTGCAACACTCTGAACCCTAAACCCAGAACACAAATCCCGAAGTTTTAATCAAGCCCCAAACCCAAAACACAAAATTCTTCAAACCCTAAACCCAGAACGCACATCCCCCTAATTATGCCCCGCAAACCACTCAGCCCTAAACCCTAGATAGACCTTGAAGGAACCCCTTCAGACCCCTGAGAGGAGCAAAGAACGCAAAATCACCAAACGCTACACAACACAAGATCCTTAAACCCAACACATATGGGTGGTTGTCAAAATTTTGGTCCCTTTTTGGGTCATGATTATAATACGGCACCTAATATTTAGGGCACCCAAAAAGGGACCCTAATTTCGACAACCACCCATATAACCCCAATAGGAACCCTTGTGGATCGCCTTGAAGGAGGCACGGGCAAAACCCCTAAACTCCGACTCGGCCCTTAACCCTAAACCCTCCCACGTGCCAGGCATTTCCGGCGTCTCCTCCTTCGGCTTCGGCGGCACCAATGCGCGGGGCGATCTCTGGGGACGGGCCGTAAGGCGGCTCGCGGGGTCTCAGGGGGCTCAATCTAAGGAATCCCTTTACGGATAGGGGTTTAGGGCGAGGGGTTTAGGGTTCTATAGGGGTTCAGGGTTAGGGGTTTAGGGTTCTATAGGGGTTTAGGGTTAGGGGTTTAGGGTTCTATAGGGGTTCAGGGTTAGGGGTTTAGGGTTCTATAGGGGTTTAGGGTTAGGGGTTTAAGGTTCTATAGGGGTTTAGGGTTAGGGGTTTAGGGTTTACGGGTTTAGGGTTTAAGGGTTTGGGGTGTAGGAATCCTCTAAGCGCTCCTTTGAGGAGTCCTTTTCGGGTTCTTTAGGGTTTAGGGGTTTAGGGTTTAAGGATCTAGATGTTTAGGGGCTTTTAGAGGGTGTAGGAGTTTAGGGTCTAGCCTGAATGATCTTTTAGGGATCTATTATATACGGGTTCCTCGTAGGGTTTTATGTTTTGGGTTTAAGGATCTTGTGTTGGGTGTCTAAAGGCTTATTTCAAGAGTTCTTTTACGGGTCTATAGGGTTCAGGTTTGGGGGTTTAGGGTTTAGGGAGTAAAATGTTTAGGGGGTTTAGGTTTTGGGGTTTAGGCTTCTGGGGTTCAGGGGCCTAGGTCCTAGGTGTTCAGGGGTTTAGGGTTTCAGGGTTTTGGTTGTTTAGGGGTTTGGGGTTTGGGGGTCTAGGGTTTGGGCGTTTAGGGGTCTAGAGTGTAGGGTTTAGGCTCCATTTAGGGGATCCTGGAAGGGTTCCTATCAAGAGTTTACGTGGTGGCTTGAGGGCTTCAGTGGTGTTGTTTGGGCTTTGAAGGTTTCTTTGGGGTTTCAAACCTTGTGTTACCCCTAGACCCTACAAACTAAACCCTAAGCCCTCAACCCTATTTAGCGCTTCAAAGGTTGGGGGTTTGGGCGGTTAGGACTCAGGTCACTCATCACTTCGGTGATGCGCCTCCTCGTCATCCCTGTTGCGTTGACGCAAGATCTTGTCGGACTGCTTTATTCGGCTTACGCCCAACAAGCATCCGCCGAGCAAACAGTTTTGAAGTTGTGGATTCTTGATCTTCCGGACTCTCGAGTACAAAAGCTGGTCGTTAACTGCTGAAGGGCTCCCAGGTCCACTTCTGCCTTACATGGAACCCTGAAACGGGCTGCTTGGCTCAAGATGCACTTGTCGTCTTGCATGCACCGCCGCAAAAGCTGGACAAGGCAAGCGAATGGCATCAGAGGATCATGGGACTTAGTAAGTGGGGTTATAAACAGGATAACTATACTTATAACCCCAATTAAGGTACCTATAATCTTACTTACTAAGTCCCATGATCCTCCAAGTAGACCTTAACCCCTAAACCCTCTAGATCCCTATAAGGAACCCTATAGATCGCTTTTAGGAACCCTAAGGAACGCGAAAATGTGGGAGTCAGAGTTTGGGGATTTAGGACTGCCGGGTTGACTCAGTGAAGGGTTCAGTAGAGTGCTTGGAGGATCATGGGACTTAGTAAGTAAGGTTATAGGTACTTTACTTATAAGTACTTATAACCCCAATTAAGGCACTTATAACTTATAAGTGCCTTAATTGGGGGTTACAGGTAACTAGAAGCATAGTTACCCTACTTATATCCCCACCTACTAAGTCCCATGATCCTTTAAGTGGTCAGTTTACGGTCAAGGGATGCTGGCTAGGATGACGAGAACTCGCGGTTTCGGACTCAGGAGGTTAAGGTCTGGCATTTGTGGTTTAAGTTCTGGCTCCACGATTTCGGGTTTAGAGGTTAAGGTTCAGTCGAGGCCAAAGAGCTGTTTTAAGGGACCCTTTAAACGACCCTAAACCCTAAACCTTAAACCCTAATCCTTAAACCCTAAACCCTAAACCCTAATCCCTAAACCCTAAACCCTAAACCCCTTTAAACGACCTCGATCGAGCCCTCTTCAGGGGCAGTCGGACCACCGAGCTCCTCGACACGGGCGAGTGGGTGGTGCGCCGTCGCTCGGCGCTTCTGTGATAGGGGTTCAGATTTGGGTTTAGGTTTCGGAACCCTAAACCCGAAACCGTAAACCCAGCTCCCTGAACTCTCAAGTTCAGGGTTTAGGATTTGGGCTTCATGGGCATTGGTGCTTTGGGTCTTTGTTTTGTGTTTCATGTGTACTGTAAGGTTTAATCCAAGGGTGTTTAGAAGCTTTCCTTAAGGATTGCTGTCAGGGTTGCTATAAGGGTTACGGCAAGGGCTGGTGTAAGGGCTACTAGAGTTAGAAGGGTTACTATAAGGGTTGTTAATCATAAGATTGCCATAGGAGTTGCTATACGGGTTGCTATACGGGTTGTCATAGTATGATGATTAGATGGGTTCCTATAAGGGCTATCATAAAGTTTGCCAGAAGGGTTCTTGCACGGACTACTATAAGGTTTGCCATAAGGGTTTTGGGTTTTAGGCTTAGGCGGTTGTAGGGTTAAGCGCTAGGGTTATGCTCACCCAGACAGTAATTACTGCAGTGCTTACCAGTATATGTCATTGTGCACTTGGTCCATCCAGCCGCTGATTAAATGACAATCACCTGTACGAGCGAATAATGGTTATCGTAATGTCATGGTACTAGTATGGTCTAAACCCTAAACCCTAAACGCTGCAACAGGCGGCATCGCTGAATTCCCAAAGGTAGAGCAATTGTATCAATGTCTAACTAACTTGAGATTCTTAAATCCTACAGCGTACCCCCAAAAGCCTTCAAACGGCACCCCAAAAGTTATTATGGGCTGCCGCCACTGCCGCCGACCCCAAAAGAAGAGAGGTGACTATCCAAGGAACGCAGCAGGTGTTGAAAGCAGCCAACTGCAAGTCTTGTAACTGGCACGAGTAGCATGAGCACATGACTGATGCGGCGAAGTATTCGGACTGACGCAGTGCTCAGCTCTCGGACATTGTGTGCGCATGTTTCAGCAACCTTGTGACTCAGAGGCAAAAGGCATCCGCACAAAACCGAGTTTAGCCGGAAGGCTGTATTCGATATGCTTAAGATACGGAGCCAGTGCAGTTGTGGCCATGGGATGGTACGACATGGTACGACAAAAAAGTCGCGCGCGCGCGCGCGCGCGCGCGGCGGCGCATCGCAAGGCCGGGGCGGGCAGTGAGGACAATAAAGGTAGTGTGGGCGGTGTGGGCGGTGGGAGCGCGGTGGGGTCCGGGCACACATTGGCAGCCTTTAAATACTTATTTTACTCTTTAAACACCTACAAATACAGCGGGCGGTGGGAACGGTGAAAGCGGTGGAGGGGGATGAAGGTGGTGGGGGTGGTGAGGGCGGTGAGGGCGGTGTGGGCGGTGTGGGCGGTGAGGGCGCGGGGGGGTCCGGGCACACATTGGCAGCCTTTAAATACTTATTTTACTCTTTAAACACCTACAAATACAGCGGGCGGTGGGAACGGTGAAAGCGGTGGAGGGGGATGAAGGTGGTGGGGGTGGTGAGGGCGGTGTGGGCGGTGGGGGCGGTGTGGGCGGTGGGGGCGCGGGGGGGTCCGGGCACACATTGGCAGCCTTTAAATCCTCTTTTTTTTTTAAACACCTACAAATACAGCGGGCGGTGGAGACGGTGAGAACGGTGAAAGCGGTGGAGGGGGATGAAGGTGGTGGGGGTGGTGAGGACGGTGAGGGCGGTGTGGGCGGTGGGGGCGAACGTGGAAAGCGGTGGATGAAGGTGGTGGGGGTGGTGAGGGCGGTGAGGGCGCTGTGGGCAGTGGGGGCGGTGTGGGCGGTGTGGGCGGTGGGGGCGCGGGGGGGTCCGGGCACACATTGGCAGCCTTTAAATACTCTTATATACTCTTTAAACACCTACAAATACAGCGGGCGGTGAGAGCGGTGGAGACGGTGGGAACGGTGAAAGCGGTGGAGGGGGATGAAGGTGGTGGGGGTGGTGAGGGCGGTGGGTGTGGGCGGTGTGGGCGGTGAGGGCGCGGGGGGGTCCGGGCACACATTGGCAGCCTTTAAATACTTTTTTTACTCTTTAAACACCTACAAATACAGCGGGCGGTGAGAGCGGTGGAGACGGTGGGAACGGTGAAAGCGGTGGAGGGGGATGAAGGTGGTGGGGGTGGTGAGGGCGGTGAGGGCGGTGTGGGCGGTGGGGGCGGTGTGGGCGGTGGGGGCGCGGGGGGGTCCGGGCACACATTGGCAGCCTTTAAATACTTTTTAAAAGGGCGGCGGTGGCGGTAGGGGCGGTGTGGGCGCGGAGGGGTCTGGGCACACATTGGCAGCCTTTAAATACTCTTATATACTCTTTAAACACCTACAGATACAGCGGTGAAGGACTCTTTAAACAGAGCGGTGGTGGAGGTTGTGAGGGCGGTGGGGGCACTGGGGGCGCGGAGAGGTCCGGGCACACATTGGCAGCCTTTACATACTCTTTAAACACCTATAACAGCGGTGAAAGACTCTTTTAACAGAGCGGTGGAGGCGGTGGAAGCGGTGTGGGTGCGGACACCTCTCGGGATATCACGGGCGCCGCCCGCAGGGGTCGGCGGATAGGGGCCTTCATTAAGGAATAGACCTTAAATTATAATAGGACCCCTAATATGATTTAAGGTATAGTCCTTAATTAAGGGATATTGGGTTCTCTGGGAGGAGGCCCGGAGACGATCCGAAAGGAAGAAGAGATTCAAGAGGCCGAAGCAACGCAGGTGATAGATGAAGAGGCTGAGCTTACTTGGAGGCCCTTTTGACTTAGTAAGTAGGGTTAGTAAGGTGGGTTATGGGGATTATAATAGGGTTTCTAGGGGATACTAAGTAGACTTACTAAGTCAACAGGGCCTCCAAGTATAGCCGAGATGGATGTGATGCGGCCAAGGCTTGCACAAGCGTTGCAAGAGTTGCGCGAGAGCGAATATGCTATTCCGGCCGAACGACATGGAGTTCTGGTTTCGGCATGTCACAGCGATCCACCAGGTTTCGAGATCGAAAACCCGGGTTTAGGGCTTCGGGTTTATAAGGGTTTAGGGCTACCTGGGCCAGTGACCAGTGGATCGGCCGCACAAGCCTCAAACGATGCTCCTCCGCCGTTGCAAAACACCCCACCCTGAATACCGAAGACAACGCCGAAGCTCTTAACACTCTGAAACCAACCCCTAACACCCCAAACCCTGAACCCTAAACCCCTAAACCCTAAACAACATCCCGAAGCTGTGGAAAAGCCCTTTCACGAAGCCTGGTAGGATCCTTGAAACCTTCCACCCTAAACCCTAAACCGAAGAAGCTTACTAGGATCCTTAGAAACCCCTCAACACTAAGCACGACCCTAAAGCCTAAACCTTATCGGAGCGCTAGCGACCCTAAGGCCGAAAAAGCCCGAAAACGCAACCTTAATAGATTTAGGCTTTAGGGTGTAGGGTTCGGATACACGTTACACTTTCTGGGAAGTAAAGCTGAAAGTGTACATTTTTTTGGGGGCTTATGAACTCAGCATCTAAGAAACCCTGCAACGAAGAATCACCAGATGTGAGGACAGCTCTTCTACGACCGTGTCTTCCACTACGGCAATCCAGGAGCTAAGAAGGGCTGCTTAGGGTTTAGGGTTTAGGGGTTTAGGGTCTAGAGTTTAGGTTTTAGCGCCTAGGTGTTTAGGGTTTAAGGTTTAGGGTTTCGGGTTAGAGTTAGTTTGAAGGTTGCAAGGGTAAGGCTGTTCAGGGTCCTAAAGGGTGTCGAGTTTTTCTCGTGTCTCTAGCAAGAGTTTGAGGCTTCTAGGGTTGGGATTGGTTTTGTAATTTGTGCACGTGTGAAGTAGCATGTTGTGTGTACGGCATTGTGGCACAAGTGCTCTTACAGGAAAAGTGCGTAGTTGCCTAATGGTATTGCGCTGCTTGTAAACACTTGGACGGGTATATACAACAGTGCGTGTGTGCAGTGGCTTACAACAACTATAGGTTATCAGCCGTATAGCCTACGGCCTGGTCACAACTGGTTGGTTACAATACAATCAATCAGCGCATGAGCGAACCGGAACTTATTCCTGCAAGTATGGATACAGTTACAAGCACCGTGAACCCTTTACAGCCCCCGGTCACGGGTGGCCATACAGGGAGCGGCGCCCCCGGCTTAGTTTTCCCGGCACCAGCCTCAGTCCAACAATTCAACGTCTTCGCACCACAGTATAGTGTTGAAGTACACGTTAACCAGATCAGACTGGAAGTCGGAGAACTAGAGGCTCAGGCAGAAGCAAGACACAGGCAACACATGCTGACCTATCAAGAAGCATCCGCAATTCACACAGCCGACTTGGAGCACAGAGCAGAACGAAACCACCTTGAAGTGGTAGCAGAACTGCAAGCAGCCTTGGCACAAAGCGAGTTCAAGGCGGCAAATCGTGAAAGGCTCCTGTTGTCGGAAATGACTTTGAGTCAAGCGCATTCCTATGATGAAGATCAAAGGTTGCGTCAAGAGTTAGCGGAACTTCAAAACAGCCGAATCACAGACGCATTGGATCAACATTTGGCGGAATCACGCTTTGCACAGAACCTCGAAGAACAGGCGAGACGGCACATCGAGAATTCCCAGGAAGTCATGGTTGAACAGTTCCAAGCACACTTTGAGTTGTTTAGGAACAGGCAGAAAGAAGAGTATGAGGCGTCCCTTGCTGTATGTAGGGAACAGAATGAAGAGCTTCAGGACAAGTTGGATTCTGCGGAAACTGCACTAGAGAAGGTCTTGGATCAGTACAATCCAGCTACTCCAAAGAGTCAGCCAGTGCCTGCTCCAAGCACCCCTGCAGGTCCTTCTGTCGTCCCCAAAGCTCCTCAAGCGCCCATGTTCTCAATGCCGAACGTTATCCCCCAAGGCGCCAGATGTCTGTTCGAGTCAATGAATCCAGGAGGTTTGAATGCTCAGTCCATTCCGTCTGCAACAGCATCTTCAATCCCCAAGGCAGGACCTTCCCAGGCAGCGCCAGGAACAGCGGCCCCTCCAGCGGCCGATTCCGGCACGCCAGGGACGGATGCTTTCAAGACAGGTCTCCTAGAGACCCAAATGGCAATTCTTCAAAGCCTAAGAAACATAAGGGGTGAGAGCAAAACCGATGCTGACAAACCCAAAGTGAAAGAAGCAGAGTCTATCAGCCTTCCGGAGTTTCCAAGTCCAGAGTCGTATCGTTCGTGGAAAACGGCAGCTAGGGAAGCGGTCAGGGCAGCATCAGATTCACCTGATGAGGCGTTTAAATGGGTGATGAAGGCCTACGACAAAGACGCATCGCAGGAATCCCTTCGAGACCCCGAGAAATTCCTCACCCTTGACACGAAACTTCTTGCTGCACTCACCAAAGTCGCTAGGGGAGAACTCTCCCGAGAAATCCTCATTTTTAAGGAGACAGAAGCGGCGAAATTCAGGGCGGTACGAGGACGACAGGTGCTCTACCTCTTCGATCAGTACTTCAAGACGAACGAGGAGGTTGGATCACTGTACTCCGTGGAGGACCTGCTGAAAGTAAGGTTAATCAATGACGACCTTTCAGTGTTCATTAGCAACTGGGAATCTGTCATGTCTGGACTCAGCCACACACCGGACGAAACGACCCTAAGAGACATTTTCCTTCGTGAACTCAGGCAGTCCAAGAGACTAAAGTACGATCTTGAGATTTACGACAGGGCAGCAGAGGGCACGGATCAGCACACGTACAAGTTTCTTGTGAAGTCACTTAAGGATCTTTTGACCCGAGAGCGCAAACGCAAGAACCGTGACCGCATCGCAAGATCTCACGGAGATAAGTACGGTGCCCCTGCCTCAAAGTCTCCTGGCCGAACTTCCAGCCCCTCTTCAAGAGGAGGCCGTGGCAGATCGCAGAGCCCAAGGCCAAGATCACCCAGTAAAGGCAGATCACAGTCTCCCAGCAAGCCTAGGACACCTAGCCCAAAGGGAGTATGCTACGATTTCCTCAAAGGAACTTGCAAGCGAGGCAATAACTGCCCTTTCCTTCACAAGAAGAGATCATTGTCCCCCAAAGGCGACAAGCCGAAGAAGAAAATCAACGTGACATGCAAGTTCTGGAAAGAAGGCAACTGCAACAAGGGTGATAAATGTCGGTTCCAGCATAAGGACATAGAGAAGCCCTCAGCTCCAGCACCTAAGTCCGAAGCAGCCCCGGCAGCTCCAAAGCCAGGGTCACCCAGGGCCAACTCTCCTGCTCCGCGCAGAGGGAGAAGTCCCCGGGCCAAGTCAAGTGACAAGGCCCCAAAGACGGCCGCATGCGCCATCGCGTTCGAAAATACAGCGGATCTTGAGATCTCGCCAAAGCTCGCTATGGCAGCGTCACACGACGAGGACTACTGGGAGGTAGACTTCACCGGCAACAAAATCATCCGTCATCACAAGAAGTACCGAACAGATTGGTATGTTCCTGACAATTCATGTCCTGTGAACCCCAAGAAGCTTAGGAGCCAAGCTAAGCTCGAGCAGGTTTTGCCGGTCTCCCCTTTTGTTGGAAACAAGATCTACAACTGGAGGAAGACCCCAACCAAAGGACCCGGCAGCACATGGGTAGGTAAGACGATCTTCTACATGCAAGAACTCCCTAAGGTGAGTTTCGACAGCACCGTAGAAATGATTGCCATCGAACCGGAAGGGAAGCAGAGAAAGCATGCCTACCTTCCCAGGGTTTATGATGAAGTCTATCCCACTGTCGAGGCATGTCCACGCTCGAATCCTAAGGATCTGAAAAGGGCTCTTGTGTGGGCAAAGCAGTTTGCCACCATGATCGAATGCATGATTCACGACACGCCTGCGGGATGCGGGTATGAATGCATGGAGGAAGGCTTCCTCTGCGAGGAGTGCGAGCGACTTGCACGTCCGTCATGTGCAGGTCTGGTCCCCGGCTTAGAATTCCTAGCGGATACCGGAAGTGAAGAGGACCTCATCAGCAAGTCGGACTGCAGAACTCACTTCCCCGACGTACCCATTGAACCTGCCTCACGTCCTGTTTCTTTGATCACCGCCAACGGGCCGGTAAAAGGTAATGAAGCCGTTAAGCTAGAGGTCCCTGAAATCAACAAAATCCTCGAATGCTACGTGCTAGATTCAACACCGCCGGTGTGCTCTGTTGGTAGGAGATGCATGGATGAGGGTTTCGATTTCCATTGGTACGCAGGGAAGACGCCTTACTTCGTGACACCCGAAGGCCGGAAACTTTACTGCAAGCTGCGCGGGCGAGTCCCGGTAATTGGGGATGGTACAATCGCCGTTCCCGCCAAGGATGAGAAAGCGGCTCATTCGCCAGTCATCCAGGCAACATCGGGTTTTCCCCGTTCAGCGGCCTAATAAGGCACGCCAATGCAGCAGAATCCGAGCCGGAAGGCGAATCCTCGGGCAGTGGCCTCGACCCCAGGATCGAAAAAGCACTGAAAGAGGCTGCTCCGTTAGGCATAAAGGCGGAGTACTTGAACAAACCAGGTTGGGTTTCGCATCCTTCCTTTCCACAGATGATCGTGGGGCACTTTCCCAAAACCTTTAGAACGCCTGCTACAAGGTTTCCAAAGCACGTCATCCGGAGTACTTGGACTTATGTCAAGAAATGGCAGGAGATCGAAAAAGACGTGGATGTAAGGACGTTGGACAATCGGGTAGCCAAGCTCCCCTCTGATGCCTGCATTCTCAGTGTAACGATCTTTAAAAGACCTGTTGATGACCCCGAGCCGGAGCCTGACAGCGAAAGAGAAGCTGAAGCTGACCCAAAGGACGAAAAACGTTCAGCCCAGCTCAAGCTGCAGGCCAATAGCCCGGAGCACAAATTCACCCACCGTCCTAAGAACCCTTTCTGCAAGGTATGCCAAAAGGCCAAAATGCTAGCGCCACATGCCAGAAAGCGAGGGGGGAGCTCCACTATCTTTTCGAAGAAGTTCGGAGACCACGTGACGATTGATCACATTGTGACCAAGGACTTGCGTGATTTTGGGATCGAAGGTGAGAAAGTTGCTCTTGTGGTTAAGGACGTGTTCACTAACTTTCGTTATGTGTACCCTGCAGGTACGAAGGAGTCGGAAGAGGTTTATGATTGCCTGTTGCACTACTTCGCTGTAGATGATGAACCAGGTATCATTTACTCTGACAACGCCCCCGAACTCAAGAATGCTACTGGAAAATACAAAGTTCGTCACAACACCTCACGACCTTACGTCGATGAAAGCAAGTCTGTTGTTGAGAGAGAGATTCGAACTGTGCTCGAGGGCACACGGGCGAACTTGCTGCAGGCAGGACTTCCAACGAAGCTCTGGCCCTTAGCTGCTCAACATCACACTATGGCTCTAAACTTGTCCAAAAGGATGGACACCGCGAAGATCCCATGGGACGAAAGGTTCGGTGAAGGGTTTAGCGGTAAGCTCATTCCTTTTGGTGCCAAGGTTCTCTATTGGAACAATCCCAAAGAGAACATAACGAATGCATCTAAGTTCGACCCAAAGGCCGAAGACGGTATCTTCTTAGGATACCACATTCAACCTGGCTTCATTTGGAGACAGGAATACCTCGTAGCTCCCTTAAAGGGTAGCCAAGATGCAATTGACAA